TGTGTGTGTGTGTGTGTGTGTGTGTGTGTGTGTGTGTGTGTGTGTGTATGTGTATACATCTGGGCGCACCTGGGGGCTCAGAGAACAGCTTTGTGGAGTCAGTTCTCTCCTTCCACCTTTTGGGTTCCAGGAATCTAACTCAATCATGGTAAGAGCTTTTATTGGCTGAGCCACCCAGAGTTAGGTTGTAAACACTAACTATACATAATTTGTAATTTTTTGGACATACTTAGGCTGGAAAGAATAAGAATGAAAACAGCTCTGAGTTCTTATGCTGGAGGATCTGATTTAATTTTGGGAAGTAGAAACCTTACTGGAAATATTTACAAAAAGGGAGTAATTTTCACAGAACGCTGTGCACAATTCTTAAGCACTTAGCTAAGGGACTCTGTGAGTGAACACCCCTGAGAAAGCCCACATGATGGCAGCCTCTTTGCAGATATCAGAGCTTTTGATTTTTTTTTTTTCTGAGACAAGGTTGTCTTTGTAGCCCTGGCTGTCTTGGAACTCACAAAGATCCACCTGCCTCTGCCTCTGCTGGGATTACAGGCATGCACCACCACTACCCAGATTGAATTCTAGATTTTAAAAAGCAAACAAAACACTTCGAATTCAAGAGCACAACTGTGAATCAAGCAAGAATGATTTTAAAAAATTTCCTTTTCCCAACCCACCCCCATCCCCGGCCTGGTGGCTCTAATCTGCAGACAGGACTTGATTGTGATAATTTGTTGTTAGTTTTACCCTTGTGGCCATGGAAAGACTTCAAGAAAATATGGCCCTAAGATTTTAATATTCTGTGACTGATTTACTATTTAGGTCATTGTTTCTCAAGGTTCCACCCCCGTCAAAATTAAAGCCACCCCAGGCATTTTATTCTGTTGCATTCTCACTTTTCACAGTTTGTGATTTGTGACCTTCTACCATTCCAGTTAGAGATGGATTAGTTTTGATAGCTGGGCTAAAGAGAGATGAATTAGTTTGTTCTTTTGATATTAAAATGAAAGAGCTTACAAGTGCTTATTTCTGGGGATTAGCCACTGATGGCTGGCAAAGAGAAAAGTGCTCAGGCCATGCAGAGTTGCAAGACAGGGAGAGTCATCAGAGTGGCATCCCTAGCAGGGAAAGCAAAATAAACACACAATCACATGAGCAGCTTGCAGAAGCTAATCTAAGAGGGACAGCTTCGCCAGCAGGTGAGACGGTGAGTGACAAGGTGGGAAGGGAGAGCCAGGAGAGATCTTCAGTAAACCCAAGCAGCCACGGAGCTCCAGAGAGGTTCTCCAGAGAGGTTAGGCGAGAGCCAAGAAGTGGAGGTGTTATGAGAAGATGAGACAAAGAAGAAGGCTGGCTTTGGGAGGGCTAAGTCAGGATAGGGAGGGAAGGAAAGAAAGAAGGGGGAGAGTGAGTGAGGAACAGAGACAGAAAGGCAGAGACAGTGAGATAGAGGGAAAGCTATCTCCCTGGAACCCATGCAAAAATAGTATGTTTTAAAAAGGATTTGTTTTTATTGTTTGTAATTATGTGTATGTGTTTGTGGTAGGGGTGTGTGCCTGTGAGTGCCACCAGTGCCCATAGAGGCCAGAGATGTTGGGTACTGCTGGAGCTGGAGTTATAGGCATTATAAACTCTGATGTGGGTGCTGGGAACTGAACTCAGGTCCTCTGCAAGAGCAGTACATGCTTAGCCACTGAGCCATCTTGCTGGCCACAGCACCTCACTTTAATTGGCACAAGGGCTGCATGTGAGTGGATCAGCAGTTGCTCTGAGAGCCATGGTGAGTGAGGTAAGTTTGCAAAAGGTCTGCATCTCCTTTTTGCCTCCTCTGATTCCCACAAAGTCACGTCTCAGATTCTTTGTGAATCTGAGCTGACAGGTTCCAAGGGTGGCTGAGGTCCCAGATGAAGGAGAAAATCTCTACTTCCTTGCGTGGTGGCAGAAGACAAGTCTCATGGAGGAACTGGCTACAAGAAGTTACTCCTGGACCAGGATCAAGTGTAAGCTAAAGATGAAAAGCTCACCATTTGGGCTAGCATGCACTCAGCAAAGGGAAGCTCTCTATACACCAAGACAATCCTTGTCTCCATTCTTTTGTTCTTGTCAAATACAATTTCAGCCTTTGCATAAATTTTTAGGCTTATCAAAGGGAAAAGTGAGACAACACAAATTTTGCCCTCAATACAGTAAAACAAAGAACAAGCACCTCAGAATACCCACATGCATGTCTGATGGAGACCTTCACAAATTTATGCTTTATCACAAAAATCTATCCCGTTTGAAAAAGAAAAACAAAAACTAGCAAATAAGCAAATGGGCTTTTAAAATCAAATTTGCTTAGGTTGATCAGATTTTTAGAAAGAACCAAGAGTAGGCTCTGTTTTGTTTTGTTTGTTTTTCAATACTAGAGATTGGACCCAGGGCCTTGTACATTCAAGATAAGCACTCTGCCACTGAGCTGCATCCTCTGTAGTTTTATTCATATAGTACTTGTACTTTTCAAACTTCAGCCTGCACACACACACACACACACACACACACACACACACACACACACACACTGAAAGAATCAAACTAACTTTGTAACCTATGTTTCTTTTAATTACCTTATAACTTATATTTTCAAGTTTTAGGCCCATGTTAATTAAAGCCTCTTAGTGTTTCTCCAGAGAGCCGAGGAATGTAAAAGTTCCTGACATTAGCCATCTGTGAGGGCAGAGATAAGGTAGAGAACAAGCAGAGATCTCTACTAAATGGAGAGATGGGCTTTGTTTGGAAACTGGGCCAAATGGCCCCAATCCTTCTCCTGACCTTTGATCCAAAGCCTGTAACCCCCACTCCTCAGAACAGACATGGGATGAGTTAATCACCCTCCCACATTTAACTGTGGATGGCAGGAAATTCCAAACTGATTTGAAGATCAGATATTTACGACAGGGTTGACTGGACCTAAGGGTGACCAGAACTAACCAATTATTTTAAAAGTTAAACACCTCATTCAATCCTAAATCGCCAAGAAGGCAACCCCAGGAGATTCCCACCTTGTGTCTTTTAAAAACCAAAGGTCTTTGTCTCCCGGTGCCACTCCTAGCTGACCAGCAGGGGTGACCCCATTGCGCAATGGTTAAGAGGAACCTCTTGCATTTTTGCAACGATGGATGATTAGTTTCCTGAGTTCTCTTTATACCTTCTTATATTTAGGCTCTTGCTGGGCCTAACAACACACACACACACACACACACACACACACAGAAATGGAGAGATGAGGGGGAGGACTGTTAGTTTTCCCTCCTTTTACTTATATATTGACTTCGATTCCTAGAGTCTGTGGACTCCTGCCCTCCATTGTTTGCAGATGAAGCAACCCGAAACTTGGATTTCTTGAGACTGACAGTATGGAACAGAATGCGGGCTCTTTACTGCTCATGGAGACAGGAGCAGCAAATGCGGAGACGAGATCAAGGAGGAGGTTGACAAAGTATAAGCAGGCAGTACCACCCCTTCCGTGTTGCCGATCACGGCTTATGAGACAGGATTCTTGCTCCTGGCCCAGCTGAAGGCTGACAGAGAACTGGGCACCTGTGTGTATCTGAAAAACGTGACAGTCTCAAGAGTGATGGGGACAGTGGAAGTTTTGGTTTCTTGAAAAACTCAGTTATGTTATTGCAAACGTGTTTTTGTTTTAATCCCAAGTGTGGGATATAGGACTGCCTTAGTTTGCCCACAGCTGATACTTGCCTCTCGGGGGAGGACGAGTGGCCTTTGCTAGCTGCAGATAGTGGAATTCTGAGGACCCTGGGAGGGTAAGTACAAGAGCCTAGAGAGGGTCTTGTTGGTTCTGCTGCTGCCATTTGCCATTTGCTCGACTGCTAGATATCTCAAAGACTGAAATGGGTATTTTCCCAAAGAACCTGACAACCCTAACCAGACAGAACTTACTCTATGCCCCCTCTCCCTTATAATCTTCTTTATCTCCTACCTAGGGATGGGGGTTGGCAGGGAGGTAGAAATTAAGGAACCCCAAATAAAGTAGAGTTAAAAACAATAGTGCCTACAGATGGGGAGTCACATCTCTATAAGCGCTGCTGGTGGATGGTGCGGTATAATGCCATATGGCTAATGCCCTGTGGGGGGCCTGTGTCTCCCCTGAATATTGTGGGAGTATGACTTCAACCCTATATCAGGCTTGATGGCAATAGCAAACAAATGAAAGTGATGGCTTCAGAAACAGGAAAATGCTGACGTTGATGCCTGCCAGCAATGTGGGCGGGGCTTACTTCCTCCACAGTTCACAACGCAGAGCTCCTCATTCTTTGGCATTATCTAGGTGATAGGAATGTTTTTGTCCAGGTGATGCAAATTTTCATTGTTTCCTGGGAAGAGCTGGTCACCAGAAAGACACCACAATTATTCAGGCGGTCTTCTGGCTAAAGACTGGGCTAGTAACAGATCAGGCCCATGAGCTATGATGCTGAAGAAGGCTCTTCACCCTCCCCCTGCCTCAGTCGGGCAGCTCACCTGCTTTTTCTGCGAGGCATTCTAGAGGCTGACTGAACCTGAGGAGGTGGGCTGGGAAAGCTCAAGCTCCTAGCTGGTCAGTCGGAGGAGGCCTGGACTTGAAGCCAGCCTATATCAGCTTCTATCTGCGGCTGAGCATCAAGGGGGGACGGTCATGCAGGACTGAGTCCTTAACCTGTGCGACTTGAGTCTAAATGTAGGTAGACAGTGTCAGAGATGGTTGGACTGAAGGAACTCCAACTAAGAGGAGAGTGGTGGGCGGGATGACCAAAGGCACTGTGCACAGCACAGGAATCTCGCCTATTATCCACATGCCCCCAAACCATTGGACAGTCTCACTTTACAGACCCTTCCATGGAGAAAGACACTCCCTGAGCATCACGAGAGGCAGACACCTGGCGAGGACAGAGCTCAGAACAGGGAGGAGGCAGATGGAGAAGGAAGCCCCTTACCGTAGTGTGGGATGATGGCCCAGGCCATGGCCGAAGCGTAGATGCCGCCAATCATCCAGAACATGCAGAGCCAACTGAGGTGCTCACCCCGCTTCTCCCGGGCCAGGACTTCAGCAAAGTAGGAGAACACAGTGGGAATGGCCCCTCCAATCCTGCCAAGAAGTGCAGAGAACATATGAGACTGGGCCTGGGACTGCTAATGTGAGCTGGGGAGGGAAAACCCAAAGCAAACTCTAGCAACATGTATCTTCTGTCTCCCTATAATGATGGGTTCATGGCGAATACAGACTCATTATTGCCTGGCCCAAACTTGAAATTGCAATTAGGCTATATGGACAGCAGGTGGCAGTGGAGTCCCACCCCTGTGGCTTACAGCTTGCAATTCAGATAGGGTTTATGCTCAGCGTTGGACAGTCTACATAATACATATTAAAAGTTACAGCAGTCTGGTGGCTTCTAATAAGTTCCTTAATTGACTCATGGAAGCAGAGGGAAGCACTGTGATGTGTCTCACCCATGAGACTGATGGAACTTTGGGAACAGCTGTAAACAGGTGTAGGGGGCTGTTTGCCAGTTTCCGTCCCTGTTGCTGCCCCACAGCAACAGGGGTAGCAACAGTGGGTCTTCCCAGCAAACACGGAGTTGGCACCTCGCCGCCTGGACTGGTTCTGGCCTTTATCCAGGAGAAAGGCCACCTGAATGAGTACGAGCCTCACGGTCACTGGTAAAACCACATAGACACAATCAAGTATATACCAATGGACGAGTGCAGTTGTTTTTATATATGACCTTTCGGCTAACTTGAGAATATGGCATGGCTAGTGGGGTGGACCTCTGAGGTGAAAGGCTCTCAGGTGAGAAGCTACACTATTAAAATTTTGTCTAGTCTGGTTGGTGAATCACATAATTTGAAATTCATCATAATTTCAAAAAAAGTGTTGACCCTAAACTTTGGATCCATTGCCTCAGAAAAATCTCACTTATTTTTGCTCCAAATTACTACCTTAAATATGTTGTTTTAGAAAGATATGAAAACAGTATAACCAGGGTGTGGAGCCAGCACACAGAGATCCAGCCTAAAAGTAAACACGCCTTCATCTATGCTACCACAGGTGAATTGCTACTGACATTTCAATAATGTGATGTCAAAGAGTAAAACGTGTCCACCCATTTAATCACTACGTTTTGTTGAGCCTTTAATACAATAAAGGAGTATCAGTAACACTTTCAGCAAATGCAACTTAAGGAAAGGTCATTTCGCAGCAAATTGGCCTGACCAAATGAACCACAGGACGCATAATGCACTTCGTTAGCCGGGAGGTCATAAAACAGCCCCGTTTAAAGCACCTGGCCCTGCTTACAACGATGCTGCACCCACCCAGGCAGGCGGGCAGGCTGCTCAGGTCAGGGTTCAGTCTGTGAGCCCTGAGATGAACTTAGTGATCTATACAGCATCATAGAAGATTTGATAGAAATGAAAATATTTGATTGCGTAAGCCCATTTCATGAGACCTTATTCTATAAACATTTTTGGTGTGCATTAACATATATAGTTATATATGTTGTAAATGTACATTCATGTGTATTATAATGGGCCATCATATCTGTCTTTCTTCTTTCTCCCTCTTTCCCTTTATTTCCATCTCTCCCTTCCTTCCTTGCTTGCTTTTCTAATGCTAGGGATCAAGTGCAGAACCTTGTGCATGCTTTGCAAGCACCATACCATGGAACAATATTCCCCGGCCCCACAGTGCATTTCTTGGCAGTAAGTCCCTTGCTTAAAGCATTTATTTCTTTTTCTCTCGGCTATGACTATCGTGACTACTTCAGTTTCCTAGTGGGATAACTGCAAAAGTCTTCTAATGAAACACATGATTAACACACTCTGTGACTGACATCAGCGCTCTCACGGTCAGCAACCAGGCACCCAACCAACCACGTCTTCAAACAGGAGTCATGGGTGTGGTAGACAGGGAGAACTGGCTGCTCCCACACCACAGGGGGCTTGTAATTCTCTCTTTGGCTTTTTGAGGAGCTCATGCTAGGTCATTTTAAAAATTTCAGCAATGTTTGAACAGGTTTTAAGTGGTTTCATTATAACACACAATTTTAGTGGGAAACAGCATGATTCTCTCAAAAATGATTACATGTTATTGCCTTTCCCATCTACTGTGTAGAATCTACTTTTTTTGTAACATAACATTTCCGTTCTGTAGCATCTCCCCCACCCATGGTGTGTGTGTGTTTACATTAGTGTGCATGAATATGGGTGCACATTTGGAGGTTTGAAGACAACCCCAGGTGTTGGCCCTTGCCTTCTGCCTAGTTTGAAACAACCTCTTTGGGCTGATTGGTTTCCCACTGCATATGACTGATTGGCTCTCCTGCAAGCTTCCAGGGATTCTCTTGTCTCCAACTCCTACTTCTCTCCATGCTCACACTATGCAACTAGCTTTCACATGGCTTTGAGGGATTCAAACTCATGATTTTATGTGCAGCAAATGCCTATGCACAGGGCTATGTCTTTAGCCCTGGCATTAGTTTTCAGGGCATAAAAGAATCTCTAGTTTTGGCTGACTCTTCATATTCTAATTAAGGCTTTATCAGGATTCTGGACACTCTGAATGGAACAGCCATAATTCATACTTCATGAAAGCAAAATTACATGCCAAGATATATCAGGCACCTTGAAACTGAGATAAATGTACTCCTACATGGCTAAAGTTTAAGACTGCTGTTAGTTTTCAATAAGTCAGAGTTAGAAAGAGAAAAAATCCTAAGTATTCAGTAATCGAGCTGGTTTTGATTCATTGCCTTTTTTGATGGTGGTCCTTTTTGCATGGGTGGCTCTCAATCTGTTTGTACACCAGGCTGCTAAGAACTTTAATTAAGGGTAAATGAGTCTGAGGAATTTGTGTGGGATGCTACTAAATCCTTTGCAAATATCTCTATTCTCTAAGATCTATAAAACAGTCCAAACGCTCACTCTCTCATTGTGGGCTGGTCATTTATTTTAAGGAAAATACTACCATCTTCTGTAGCCTGCTTTACTCAGAGAAAAAAAAAATCCCTTTTGTGCTCATGTGTTGCCTGCCTCTGGTATTTCATACTCTGTGCAAGGGAAAGGCGAAAACTGCCTGATATGTGTCTATGTGCCCCCATCACCCAGTGGGCATGTGTACCACATATTTTCTCCCAATATTTATCTCCTGCTTTGATGACTTAAACACCTTGAAAAACAAGGGCACACACCACTTCCTAAATCAATATAAGCCGAGGACACTGAGGTGTAAGCATTGAGTCAGCATACTTCCCGGTGTTCCCCGTGCCTTGGTCACTGTGAGCACTCATTTTTCACATGCTCCATGGTCCTTATCACAGGAAGAGTTTGTTTGAGGTTGATCAGAAGGCCCTGAGCAATTGTGATGGACATTCTAGGAGCTTCTAAAACACCTGGCTGTCTGTCATAAAACTGTTGTAGCTGCAATAATTATAGTCAATAAAAAATTCTTGACAAAAAGAAAGGCAGGTGCTCTTTGTCTTGTAAATACAACTTACTTCCTACCAAAAGTGGTGATGTCAAAATAAAGCTGCCCACAACCCAGTCTCCAATGCTCGAAATTAAAAAAAAAAAAAAGGTTTTCAACTGCTGTTTTACCCCAACATTTTCAGGGAGTGTCCAATCAGTATCTACCATAAAGAAAGAAACAAACAGCCAGGTATGGTGACACATGCCTGTAATCTCAGTACTTGGGAAGGCAGAGGCAGGTGGATCTTGGTGAGTTTGAGGCCAGCCTGTTCTACAGAGTGGGTCCAGGACAGCCACGGCTACACAGAGAGAGCCTGTCTTGAAAAATTAAAAACAAACAAACAAATAAAATACCAAATATGGACTAAGAGAAGGTGGACACAGAACCCTTAGAAACGGATGGTTATTATAAGTTAGTCAGTCAGTATATGGATCAGTATTCTCGGGTTCCTAAAAAAATCTAAAAATAGAACTGTCATATACAATTCTACTATATCACTTCTTGGTGTATACCAAAGGAATCTAAGTCAGGAATCACAGTGACACCTGCACATCCATCTTCACTGTGACAGTGTTCACAAGAGCCAAGGCATGGAACAACTGTCTACCAGCGAATAATATTTTGTGTTGGATGATCTTTTATTCTTGGGAAGCTGTTCCACTCGTGAGTGGATAAAGAAAGTTTGGTGCATATACGCAATGGACCTGTATTCAGTTACAAAGAAGAAATTATGTAATTTGTGATTGGCTTGGAATCAACCCTTTGTCAAGATACAAGATTTGGAAAGACAAATATGGTATGTGTTCTCTCATACACAGAAATAGATGAATGAAACTACCTGTTGCACAAAAGCCAAAGGAAGGCACTGTAGGGGAGGAAAGAGGACTATAGCGGGTGGGGTGGACAATGATATACATGTATGAAAATATAATGAAATCCATACGCTAATTAAAAAGGCAAAATACAGTAGAACAACACACCTAGTTATTTGTTTTTGGTGATGGTGTTTACCACATTAGGATATAATCCCTGAGAACAGATCCAAGATAAATATTTGGTGGGAGTTATCACAGTCTATATAATAGTAGCTCTTAAAAGTGGTTTGGTTTTTTTGTTTTTTGTTTTCATCTCCTTTGACCCATGGCTGCGGATATCTTCAGATGTCTGGAGCTATCTAGAGGCAATGTTAGTTGTTACAGCTCAGGAGGAACTTCTGGCATCAAGAAGGTAGAGGCCAGGGGGGATCCAAGATGGCGGCGACCAGCGCACACCGTATCTGAGAGGCAGAGGATCTGAAACACTGAAATTGGTGAGTGGAGGGGCAGCCGAAGCCAGAACATTGACACTGAGGCTTCTTGGGTGAAAGGGGACAACATGTGAGCTGAGGCCATTTGGATCCAGGTGCCCTGCAGACTTCTCTGGGGATGGAGAGTAGCGAACATTCGATCCCCCCCCCACTTCCCCTTGTCGGACCTCCCTCCTTCTCAGCGGAGGTGGCCCACAGTGCCTGAGGACCATAGCACAGAACTCCTTGCCTGGTGACTGTGCCTGTGACTGAGACAGCAGAGGCGGGGCTACTAGTTCCTCAGAGGTGGCTGCCAACTGTAGGAGCCTTCTGGGTC